AGTGAAAAAAAAAATAATAATAATAAAAATAATAATAATAAAAAATGATTAAATAAAAAATAATAATATAAAAATAGGATTAAATCAACTTGATTCATATGATATCTACTGTAGTTCTGTTATGCAAATTAGCACATTAGTTCTTGCTTCAAGTTTATCTCAAATTAGCATATCATCAACACACTAGTTCTGTTATGTAAATTACCACAATAGTGATTGCTTCACGTTTTTCTTGCACCACCATATCAATTTTTTGTACTGAATGAATACTCTCAAAGTCGGCATACGGATTTTTTATTTTTTATTTTTTGTGCATCTATGAATATATTTGATCAAATCAGCCCCTAAACCTTCTAGGAGAAAGCTCTCACAATACCTTTCCCCGTAGTCGTCCTTTTCCTGAGTCGATATTGGCGTGTGCGTGGAGTGGGTGCAGATTGCCGCCGGTCGTGTGCGGAGTAGGTGCACAGTGGGTCCGGACTCGCGTGGAGAACGTTTGATTCTCAATATTTTTGTCGATTTCTTTCACAATTATTGTTTTATTCTTATGGAAACATCAGATTTATGAACATGAGCAGAACAGAGGAGCAATCCTAATTACGAAGGATTGCTTAATTGTATTTATCATAAAAAATTATATTTAAAGCCATGTCATATATGACATGTTGGAAAATATAATATAATTAACAAAGCCACTTCATATCCACCTCATATTGTGGCATGGCTTATGGCGCCCGTATGGGCGCCATAGAATTTCTGATATTATTACTGTAAAAAAGCTTTTTGTGTTTTATTTATCAAATATAATCATGAAGAATGACAATGTATATATTTACAAGATGAGAATTATGTTGTTCGTCTCTCGTATTAGTTAATGTGGTATTTTTTGTAGGAAAATCTCGGGAAGTGTGGACATAGACGCGTCGTATTTGATAAAAGCACCAAAGATTCGATGAAAAGCATATCAAGGAAATGCTAGATATGGTGTTTTATCTTCTTTTTATGATATTGTAGTAATCTCTAAAGGGATTAATGGTAAAAACTATCTACTGGGATTTGTCAAAACGCAATAGATAGAAAATTTACCTTAAACAATTTTGTGACTTTTTTTTTCGGAAATATCTTTATTTAGATCGAGTCGAAACTGAGAGAGGTAACTGAGAAGCTAGGATCACCAGCTCGACTGAAACGGAGGAAGATGCCAAAGCCTCTCGCGAGCATTTGGCTGAAGAAATTCGTAAGAGGAAGGAGACATATTGTTGGAAGAGAGATCAAGGACAAGATAGAATGAGCAAAATTTCGATGTATTACATCATGTAGTGATCACATTGCGAGTAATTTGTTGATTTATGTTCAAGTTTCATTTTTTTTTTTTTTT